ATCCTTCGATCGGGAAAACGCCTTTGGTATTCTTCAACAGCAGCACGTGCAGTGCCACCGCAAAATCCACACACAAAATGCATATCACAATATTCCACGTGTGAAAACACAAGAGGCATATTTCAGCAACTCATCACACAACTAAATTACCACCCATTCACGACCCCGCCGCAACGTAATCTGTAGCCTCTGTAAGTAGCGCATGAGATTATGGCAACTGTGAATCACGACACTCAAGGACAAACAGATAAGAGTCTCAGCTGATAGGTACAGTGCGTGGACCCGCTAGAAGACCACACTTTTCTCGGGCCATTATCTCCGTAACCTTTCAACTTTGGACATAGATGTTTTGGGTTATATTGGCATACTTTAACATAAGGAACACCCTCCCGAAGTTTGGTCCATTCCTCCTGGAACACCCTGTATATATATGGCAAATTCTGCATAAAAGGGAAGCTTTCTTCTGGCATACATGTATTATTACAAGTATTCATAACTAATGATGACCTTTCTTTCATTAACTTTTTTGCAATTTTTGCCATTTATACTATGGGCTCATTCAGCAAATTAGAATTACGAAGGCAAATCAAGAAGTTTTTACCCCTATTTTTTTTTTCCAGCCAAAATATTACTGTGTGATTGAGTAACTGGGTTATACATTCGATGCAACAGGGTATACGTGGACCGACCCAGGATTAACTCTCGGCTGCTCCGTGGCACTGCGCCACTGTCAGTCTGTGAAGATGGCTGGTATGCTCAACATGTCCATGTTTTATGAGCAGCAAAGTGTTATTTGTTTTCTATGGAGCAAGAGACAAACAGGGAAATGCAGCCAACATATGTGGGTAAATGTCTCACTTTGAGAAGTGTGCGATGGTGGTGCTGTGAGTTCAATAATGGCCGGGAAGGCCTTAATGACAATGAGCGGTTGGGGCAACCTTGCTCACACCAGACAACATTGCCCGCGTGGATCCAATGGTGAAAGTGGATCAGCATGTGCACCTGAAGGTCATTTCCAAGGAGCTTGGCATTTCGTATGGCAATGTTTACGATACTGTTCACGATTCCTTGGGGTATCACAAGCTTTCATGTCAGTGGGTGCCTGAGCTGTTGGATGATCTGAACAAGGCCAAGAGAGTGACGTCACAGCAACATTTACAGCGTTACTCTGAGGAGGGTGAAAAGTTCCTGGATCTCACTGTCACCACATATGAAACGTGGGTATTGCATTTCACTCCAGAATCCAAGTAGCAGAGTATGGTGTGGAAACATCCTGGTTTGCCTGTCATGAAGAAATTTTGGCACAACGCCATCTGTCGTGAAGTTGATGGTCGCGGTCTTCTGGGATCACTGAGGACCACTCCTGCTGGATTTCATGCCATGAGGTGCCACCATCAACGTGGACAGCTATTGTGGCACAGTTGCATGTCTGCGAGCTGCCACCAGGAAAAAGCGCCCGGGGATTCTCGTGGATGATGTGGTTCTCCCCCATGAAAATGCCAGGACTCGTGTGGCAAACAGGACAGCCGCCCAACTACAGTCATTCGGATGGGAGATTATGGAGCATGCACCGTATAGTCCAGACCTCGCTCCAAGTGATTACCATGTGTTCAGTCCTCTGAAGAAGTTCCTGGCAGGCCAGAGGTTCATTTCCGATGATGACGTGAAAACCGCTGTCCGGCAGTGGTTCCGGGCTCAACCGGCTGAATTCTACAACAGCAGCATCTCCAAACTTGTGGTGTGATGGGACCATTGCCTGAACCGGGGTGGTGACTATGTGGAGAAATAGTCAAAGGTACTTAGAACACTGCCTGTATTTTGATTTCCTTGTATGTGTATTACTGTGGCTGAAAAACAATAGGGGCAAAGACTTTTCGATTTGCCCTCGTACATACATGGGAAAAAGGTTCCTTTTCAGATGATACAGTTTTAATATTTACTACCTGTGCATCACACTACCATGACCATGCATGCATGTCCTGCAGACCTAGTGGGACATTACTGAGGGTAATATAGTCACCCCCAAGTTAAAATCTGGCCATTAGTGCCATAGTAGCAGGGCATTTAAATCACCCATTCTACACTCTGGAGGTTAATCAGCTTTCATTTCAGTTTGTGCTGGGAAATATTTTTTTGCTGGTAAAGTGGATGGAGGGTGAAGCTGACGTTTTTCACCATCTAGAGCTGAGGCCTAGAATGTGTAATGGTTATGATCAGAACCCAGATTTTGATGACCTAAAAAATCCAGAAAATGACCTATAAAAATGACCAAAAATCCAGAAAAATTATCTAAAAGTAAAAAAAGACCAAAAATATATCACATCTTGGAAAATCTACTAATTGTTTTACAATGTATTTTTAATCTCTATTAACACTGTGTACTCTTTGTTAAGCTTGTCATTTTTATGTTGAAAATTAAGCAATATATGATTGAATTTGAAGCTTTAATATGATTTTCTCTACCATGTTAGAACGCTTATCAAATGTACATATAAGGTATATAGTCCAATATTTTAAGTGCCACCTCATTCAGAGTTGCAATAGATGACACTTAACATGAGGAGATTCTCAAAGGTGAATGAGCGCCTACTGTCCAACAGCATATTCTTGTACTTGGAGAAACTCCTTTCCACATCTGCAGACACAATGGGAGCATACTTGAAGTGTAGGCCGCGCCATAACTCAAGCAGTTAGTCGCTGGCTTCCCGTCGCGGCAGCCCGGGTTCAATTCCGGGTCTGGCCAAGTGGGATTTGTGGTGGATAAAGTGACTCTGGGGCGGACTTTCTCCAAGTACTTCGGTTTCTCCTGCCAATCTTCATTACACCAATTGCTCCACAATCACCCTCACCTATCATCTGGGGCTGGTACAATAGGACAGAAGTGGCCGCAGTACAAGGGACTCAGTCCCACCCCACTAGCAATAAAAAAAATGCACAACAATATCATTCTATTAGTTGCATACACTAGCTGCTGTTCAAAGTGATCTGCTACAGTGTTTATGGACAATTTTGCTCATTTTAAAAAGAATTTCTGTTTCATATGCCCTTCAGGACATTCACATTTCTCAAAACTAATGAAGAAAATTTCCCTAAAATGGCTAAAATGGGGGAGGGGGTGAGAAAGTATAATTACTTTAGTCGGTTGTTACCCTTTTTCTAACATCGTCGTTGCACTCGGCTGCCGTCGGCTGTCTTGATTAGGGACGCTTGGGATCGGGTGAGGGCAGGATGGCTACTAATGGGTGAATCAGAACTCCCTGCGGACATTTTCCTCTATGTACACTTTCTATTTACAATATTAATTACATTCAGAAAAAGGCCTGCTTTGGCCGCTTACGTGACACTTCTCGCTAAGCTCATTCTACCTTCATTTGTGGCGGGGAGGTGCCTTGTAACTGTACTCCTATCATCACCTGCCACTTCCCGTTCATTCCTACCCTGTTCTACCCTGGCTCTCACTTGGTACACTGGATACTGCCTTATGATCTCACAATAACCTTGTATTAACAACTTTTAACAGCATGGCGTATATGAGCAAAGAGACTTACTTGCAATACACATGTAGAGTACTGCTGTCATCCACCCCCTTGTGGTATACATGTCACCGAGAGCCTCCGGCTGACAACTGAATATTGTGTGTTAGAACATCCTCCAAATCCCCCGAAATTCCCTAATTTATGGTTTTATTTCGCTGATTCAGCGTTGACGACAGAGGGTAGGTACTCCTACTCGGTGTCCTCAATCCTCATAGTAACATTCTCATTGGCTCTCATTGGTGGTTGTGGGGGGACCCCTTGCGTCTTATTGCTGTGTATGCGGTCTCTTACGATTACTCCAGTGACCGAGTGAGGCAAGCTCTTGCTCTGTGAGTACACAGACTTGCTGAGCATCCACATTCTTAACCTATTTGCCAGTCCTGGTGTTTACAATTTATTGTAATGACTGCGAAACGCTTTTCACAAGTCGCGAACATTTTGGGAATGCCTTATGCTCTCCAATCTCAAATTTGAGCCGCAACAATGACAAAAAATACCCTTAAACGTAAAACAAAAAAATTACACTAAAACCGAAAAAAAAGGCCTATAAAAGTTACATTTCTGTAACCAGCAGCTCATATCCAGGATTTATATATGTATGGGCATAACATAGGATACAAGGGAAAAAATATGACATGTCATCAAAATCTGGGCCCTGGTTATGATTCACTGCCATATGACATCATCCATCCCTGGTTCAGGACTCAAGCACAGAGACAAACTTACCTTACCTTTCACAATGCAATATAAAATTCTGAATGGAATAGTGGACCATGTTAGACTTTTATGTGAGTGCTCACCCTCTCGATGGCTTCCTTGTCCTGGGGAGTTACCTGGATTACTCCAGGAGCAAACATGCTACCAGCACCTGATCCTGCATCTCCTGCTCCACCATGTCCAACTGCAACAGGACTTGCAGGGGTTCCACCAGCTGAAGGGGTGCCACCACCTTAATAATAATAATGCAACACTCACTAATTAATAAGATTTTCTCCATCTACATATTGATCCATGTGAAGGAGTATGAAATACAAATTGCAATGTAGCACATTTTAGGGAGCATCATAACTTTACCAGAAATCCATACATTTATACCGTATTCACTCATATAATCCTGGCCACCAAATTAAGCTGCATATATGCTTTGGAATAAATAATTCTAGGAAATAAAGTCAGGGTACATGACACTGCAAATAAAGTGAAGTCTTCAACAGTACAAAAATACATTTCAGGGTTGTAATTAAAATTAATTACTAATCAGCATATTGTACATTATAAAATTCTAACACTGTCGTTTCATGTTAGTGACACCATAACTGCTAGAGCAGATTTCAATTCGATAATAAAATAAACAAAAATAAAGTCAAATTTGAACACCTTCCACACTGTTTAAGAATTACAAGAAATAAGGCATAAAAATTGAAATTTCAATATTGAAAATCTTTTGACTTAATTATTAAAAATGTAATGTTTCCAAAGGGACAAAGAGATAGTAAAACTAAATTCTGTGGCCAGATACCAACCTCAGATAATTCAAAACTAGAAAAATACTTCACCTAGCCATGGTTGTATGTAACATGACTACCAACCCAGTCTGAATATTTAAAACTTCATTCCATATTTAGCTAATTGCATGGGTGCACATTTACAGCAACATACATCTTAGCTTCCTGCATACTAATCTGCCCTCTTTCCATACATGCATACATATATACAGAGATTCTGGCATCCTGCTATATTCCAAGTCAAGACTTCAATGAAGATTGCACAACCCATCATGACATGAATTACCTGTTTCTATATCACTATTTTATAAAGTGATACCACAGAATAATTTTGCTTAACAACCCTTTTACAATCAAATACATTTATTATTTTTAAAATGCTGAATACCCTGGAAAACAGTACAACATACATCACAAACATATTTTAATAACTGGTGCCAAGGTCTTACATGGTTTACTCAGTTATGTATCGGTCATGTTCAGCTACCTGGAGCAGCAGGTTCATTCAGCATGCGTACGAAGGCCTCCTGGTTCTGTGATATGAGCTGTAGAAGGGCAGGGTTGGTCTGTCCAATCTGCTGCAGAACAGCATTCAGTAGCTGTGGATTTTGTTGAATCACCTGTCGCATCTGCTGGAATTGTGGCTGCGAACGCAGGAACGCCAACGGGTCTTCTGAAACAATGTTACCTCAAGGATCCTGTGCCCCTTCAATAAAGACCTATCACACAACCCATGTTTCAGCACTTTTAACAAAGCAGTTTGTCTTCAAACTGATAGGAATATTAGAAATGAAAACACTTGCGCTATTTTATTTCTGAACCAAAAAGAAACTTACTAGAATGGGGAGTATGCTTTTATATTCATAGGTAGCTGAAGACAGAAATTTAATGATACACCCCATCAAATAAAGTAACAATAAAATAAAAAAGTACTTGATTTCATAATCAGTCTAAGGTAAAAAAAGTAGTTATCACTAGTATCTAGTATGGACTCTTGGTGCAACTGGTAGGGATCAGCAGACATTCTATCTTGAAAACATACAGGTGCCACATCTTCCAGACTTCAGGAGATTACAAATTGGATTTCTTGAGTAAAATATTTTAAACCAACATTTATCCAGTTCTCAGTCATTTTGGAACTACTGCTGAAAAATACTGATTGATTAAATATTTTTTTTTTGGATACCTTATCAACTATACAACAAGGCTGTACCATAGCTCAAGCAGTTAGTTGCAGGCTTCCCAACGCGGTGGCCCAGGTTCGATCCTGGGTCTGGTCAAGTGGGATTTGTGGTGGACAAAGTGGCGCTGGGGCAGGTTTTCTCCGAGTACTTCGGTTTCCCCTGCCAATCTTCATTCCACCAATTACTCCACTATCACCCTCACCTATCATCTGGGGCTGGTACAATAGGCCAGAAGTGCCCGCAGTACAAGGCACTTAGTCCCACACCACTAGCAATAAAAAAAACTACACAACAATATAATTCTATTAGTTGCATACACTAGCTGCTGTTCAAAATAATCTGCTGCACTGTTTATGGACAATCTTGCTTATTTTACAAAAGAATTTCTGCATTTCATATGCCCTTCAGGACCATTCTGTTTGTTAGCAGCAGCATCCACGATTTACTGAAGAGTTCACCTACTGTCTGTGATTTCTCTTCGTAAATCATATGTGTATTTGCAGAAGACACAGTCAAGAAGGGTAAGGTCTGCAGAATTAATGGAGATACAAGCTTGCAGTCCTCCTCGATCCAGTGATCAAATATTCTGATACTTGCCAACCTTAATGAGGTGAAACATGTCTGAACTGGTCTGAAAACAATTTTTTCCTAAATAACTTTTTCTATAGGAAATTAAGACAGTAAGTAGACCATAACTCCACAAATGATGAATAACTAGTACATGTGATTAATGAAATAAAATCGATTACCTACATGCTAATAGGCAACTTGATTAATTTAAAAAACTTACTACCATGTTGGCCACCACTTTTGAGATTCCAACAAGTGCCACAATAGAGTTATCTTATGTAGTGAACGCCTTTTCAAATGACAAGAACTGAAAGGGAAGCAATCAGTTCTTTTTCAAAGAGCATATTTTGTCAAGTGAAGCTATTGCAAGGGTAATACCATTTACTGAGCTTCACAATGCACTTTAAAGGCTTGCAGACAGTAGGTGAATATGTGTCTGCGAAACAGACACATATCTGAGAACAGTTGGCTCACCTTTGTTATAGCCATACATTATATGGGTTAGTCAGTCATGATACAGATTAGGCGTATGCACTAATATGGCAAAAAAAAAAACCATGGAAGCAAATTTTCAACTTCCTTGGGTCATCCATTAATACATACAATCTTAAAATTGGTATATGGCTAATGATATAACCATATAAAATTGTTCTGCTCAATCAGCCCTTATCTTTGCGGTTCTTCCATTTTTAGCAATAGCTCTGTTAATAGCCGAAAATCAGACCACTGTTGACAAAATATTTTTGACTCCAAATAACCAGGACCTTCTGAAGTTTGGTAGATACTTCATGGGTTACCCCACATACATATTTTTTTCTAGACACTTCATAATGATTCTACCACATCCCACAAACAGAATACATGCATATTCATAGGGTATCTATGGAGTTAATATCACTTAGTAAACATTGTACTACATTTGAGCTGGGTTATAATTTATAGTTCTTGAATTATTTTGCACTTTACAGAATCCATTCAGAAATTTGTGGCCTTAGCTAAGAGAAGGGCAAAGAACATTCACACAAACTATACAAACAATTTCAAAGTGTTCCAGTAATTACTGACCGCACATCAAATTCCTTTGAACTTTCTATATATTTCTGTGTGGACCTATCAGGCGAAACAGAAACTCTGGCTGCCTTTAAGAAATAATTTAAAGACTATTAAGATTTCAGCAATGTGTGCACTTGACACATATTTGGAAAATGACATCAAAAATCATGAGGCACTTACAGTACTGTGCACCTTAATATAATGAGAATTTATAAAAATTCATAAGAATGCTTGTTACAACAGAGACTCAAAATATCCAAAACTGTTTGAATACATAATCTTTTGTCTCAACTTCTAATTACATGTATTACTACTATATGGCATTATGTTTGGAGAGACCTTGAGAACCTCTGTGGTGAGACAGTGTAAGCAGGGAGGCGTTCTTTTGCCTTTGCTGTGGGGCCTGGTCATGGATGATCTTCTTTGGGAGCTCAACAGTAAAGGTCATTTCACAGTAGGATATGCTGCTGATATAGCAATCCTAATCAATGGAAAATTCCCTTATACTGTCAGAGGTCTTACAAACAGCCCTGTACACAGTTCAACAGTGATGCAAAACAATAAACTTGTCTATCAATCCAAATAAGACGGTAATTATACCCTTTATTAGGAGGAGAAATATAAAGGGGCTTAAGAAACCAATCCTCTACAGTAAAGTGATCCAGCTATCCAGTGAAGTCAAGTACCTTGGAATAACATTAGACAAGGGACTGATACGAAAGAAAAAAAAACTGGACAAGGCTATTAATGAGGCCTATAAGGACTTCTGGACAAGCAGAGGCATGTTTGGAAAGACTTGGGAACTGAAACCAAAGGTGGTGTACTGGATATACACTGCAGTGGTAAGACCCATAATTACCTATGCTGCCACTGTATGGTGGCCTAGAGTTAAATTCAAAACAAGTCAGGCAGAACTATGCAAACTGCAAAGGATGGCCTGCTTGGGAATTAGGGAGCAATGAGAACAGCTCCAACATCTGCAATGGAAATCCTACTAGGACTCCCACCACTGCATCTGCAGATGGAAGCAGAGGCCAAGTTAGGAAATTATGGATTATGTTGCAATCATCAATGATGACCCAGATCCAAAGGTTGTGGACATGCATACACGATTCAGGTCATCAAAAATAACCCATCCTACAGATGGGGTCTGATAAAATGATACACATGTTTATGATATACCCTTCACAATCTGATTTCCTGATAGAAGTGAATGGAAAAACGGGGTTTCAACCCGACAGACATGGGGGACTAATCTGGTATACAGGTGGCAGACGACCACAAGGCTGCACGCATGGCAATTTGCCAGACGATGTTGACACGTGATGAAGGCATGAATGGGACTTTCTTTTCATCAACTGTGACAATGGATGAGACATGGATGCCGTTTTTCAATCCGCTATTGCATCAGCAATTTTCCAGTGGTCAAAACAGACTCCTACAGAAGCTTTCGCAGCGGCCATGGAATCATGGCATCGACGTTGTGAAAAATGTGTACAGCTGCAGGGAGATTACGTTGAGAAGTGACAGAAGTTTCAAATTTTTTGTATGATTATTGTGTGAGAAAAGAAATCGGAGACCTTAGAACTTGAACGCACAACATATGACGCCCCCATAAACAAAGTCCTACATTTCATTCAAAGTGTAGGATTAATAAAGGGTTAATCCAAAGGGCAGTACAACAGATCATTGAAGGTCACAGTGCAAGGGTTGGATGTTATGGCCCACCCCTTACACATACTACTACATATGGCATTATGAGTCAGGATAGCGCAGTCAATATAGCAACTGGCTATGGGCTGGACAACCAAGAGGTCACAGTTTGAGTCCAAATGGGGGGCAAGAATTTTCACTCCTCCATGTCTTCCAGACCAGCTCTGGGGCCCTCCCAACCTCCTACTCAAAGGATACCATATCCTAGCATAAGATACATGGTATCTTTTGTCTCACTACATACTAAGCACAGGCTGATCTTGCCTCTTCCTTACAACCCCTGACTTCCCAACTCGGTCTCTACTTGAAATTCTTCCCTTTCTGAACTTCCTTTAACACGTACTGGCCATGCATCACACTACTGCCATGGCTAATTCACGGTCCAGTTGGCCTGCATCACATTGTTGTCACTAGAATACACCTCTATCTACAGCAGCAGTGGCACTCTAATTTTTTCCACTGCTCTGTACAGACCTCTCTTGCTATGAGTTACTGATAAATGCTAATCCAGCAGGGTCACTATTACATTGAAACAATCAGGTTGTAGTTTTGGCTTGTCCATGTGAAATGTTCCCTCAATACACAAATCTCCCTCTACCACATGCATGCTCTTGTCAGCTCTGTGATTTGAATAACCCACAACAAAAATAAAGTTTTCTCACGTGTCTGTAAAATGGGAGTGAGGGTGATTAGTGGGACCTGCCATTAGAAACGGTCAACTACACAAAGCAGACAGCATTATATTCATGGAAAAGTAACCCCAAAAAACTGAAATTCTCTATATGGTTTTTGTTAAAATGATAATCAAAGAGGAAGAGTGATGGGATGTGCTGGTGAGAAAATGATAAAAAGAAATAAAACTTTTCCCATGGTGGTCACTGCTGAAGAGAAGGGGAGTGAGATGAGTACTGAACTGTCCAATCTTTTAGAAACAATGAATTGCCTAATCTTCTTATACTGGTGGTCAAGAACAATACATTATTCCTCCTCTGGTGCTACCCATCCTTCCATTGGAGGTCTCAGAAGATCAAGAATTTAAGAGGCATTCCATGTGAATAAGGATTCTAGACCAATTATCCTTCTGCTATTCTTCTTCAATGACATGATCTGACTGTTGGTACTGGACACTATAAAATACTTTGAATACAACCAACATTTAGGCACACCTACAGTGATGTGACTGCAGAGCACATGTGGGTACTTTTGCCATAATAATAAAAATTGGACATGATATCAGGGACATAATAAAAATTACACTTTCCAGCCTTGTAACATTTCTATATTCCATTTTCCCCAGTAACATAATGAAATGCATCTAATTTCTTCATATACTGAGATTTCTACATGGTTCAATGGATCAATACGAATCAATCAGACAAGTATGACAGAACTATGAATGTCTGGAGAATTAGATATCCCACTGATTAGCAGATAAAGCATATGCCAAATTTTACTAAGGGAGAACTATTTTAACCAATGCATTCTTCAGAAACCTGAACACTTAAGTAAAATATTTTAACAAACTGTGTGGCAAGACTTGTTAACTTGGAATATGAACGTATATAATTCGGAAAGTATAGGCAAAATGCAACACACATTGAATAGTGAAAGTCTCATTACAAGGGTACATCTAACTACACTGAACAGGTACTCATTTTATCATCCTGTGGCACAAAAGTAGACCACCAATAGTTTTGCAAGACTTTGGTTAAAAAAAATGGAATCTGTAGGTCTTATTAGAAACAACAGTGTTTGTAACAGAAAAAAAAAAGATAATGAATTAATACATTTATTTTCTTTTGGATACTTTCTGCTAAAATGTTCTAGCTGGTATAATTCTATATATATATATTCTGTGTACGAGTATATGTAGTTAACTCCAAAAGTAATGTACAACATTTCTTTTAAAAATTCAGTTTTTATTCTACAGTTTTGCTATTTGTAGGGTGCAGAGAAGGATCCTTCCTGCTTCTATTCAAACTTAATTCAACCCGTTCCCATGCGTAGCAGTGTCATAGCATTCCTTCAAAATGGCTGCTGTGCTTGATGTTGGTCAAAAGTTAACGTGCTGTTATAGAGTTCTTGTGTTATAAGAATGAGACAGTTGGAAACATTCACAAGAGATTGAAAAATGTGTATGGAGATGACGCTGTCAATCGCAGTACAGTTAGTTGGTGGGCATGCAGATTATCTGGTGAAAGTGGGCATGCCAGTATTTGGGATTCTCCTTGCATAGGCAGATCGCACACAACACAAACACCTGGCAATGTTCAGCATGTTAACGATGTGGTTTTGGATGAGAGACACATGGCTGAAATAAATTTCAGTCCAACTGGGAATTGGGGAAGCAAGTGTGTGCAGAATATTGAAACAGCTGGGGTTGAAAAAAGTTTGTGCAAGGTGGGTTCCGAGGATGTTGACAGATGCCCACAAAGAAACCCAAAAAACTGTGTGCAGTGAACTGTTGGCACAATATGAGAATAGTGGAGATGACTTTCTTGTGAGAATTGTAATGGGAGATGAAACATGGCTGCACCATTTTGAACCAGAAACAAAGCGGCAATCAATGGAATGACACCATGCAAGCTCTCCAAAGAAAAACAAATTCATATCTGTGCCTTCAGCAGGAAAAGTTGTGGCTATGGTCTTTTTTGATTCAGAAGGGTTTTTGCTAGTGGACATCATGCCACAAGGAACCACCATTAATTCCCATGCATATGTGGCAACCCTAAAGAAACTTCAAGCTCGACTGAGTCGTGCTTGACAGCATTGGCAGAAACAGGATGTTTTGCTATTGCATGACAAAGCCCAGCCACACGTCAGTCAGAAAACCAAGGACATGATCAAAAAACTTGGATGGACAACATTGCTACACCCTCCTCATAGCCCTGATGTGGAACCCTCTGATTACCATCTCTTTGGTGAACTTGAAGAAATCCCTTCGCGGAACAAGATTTGAAGATGGTGTTGTCCTCATTACAGCTACTAAATGGTGGCTCAGACGCACTGGTCCAGAGTTTCATCGTGCTGGCATACAGGCCCTAGTTCCAAGGTGGTGTAAAAGGGATGGAGATTATGTGGAGAAGTGATACCTAAAGGATGTTTCAACATACTGTATAAGTAGTAAAGGTCTAGAATAAAAACTGAATTTTTTAAAAAATGTTGTACATTACTTTTGGAGTGACCGTCATATATATATATATATATATACAGTGGAACCTTGCTTAACGAGCACCTCTCATAATGAGTAATTCGCATAACGAACAAAACAAATTGTAAAAAAATGACTCGCTTAACGAGCGACGTTTCACATAATGAGTGACGGAGGGAAAGTCCTGGATTGTGCGCTTGCTACATCAGTCTGTGTTTAGCACTTGTTCCACTAGCATCTTGGTGTCGCTTGTGATCACACATTTTTCAAAATGTGTGTTCAGACATATTATTTGTGAATCTTTTTGTGCAAAGTTTAATAACCCTTGCAAAAATGTCCCCAAAGAAAATGCTGCAAAAACACAGCCATAAGAGAATAAAAATAACTGTAGAAATGAAACGTAAAATCATTGAAAAGCGAGAACGAGGTGTGAGCGTGGCTGATCTAACATGCACATACAATCGGTCTACATCAATGATTTGCACTATCCTCAAGAACAAGGACAAGGTTAAGGAGATAGATGATTCAAAGGCAGTGACAAGAATATCTACACAACGGTTACGTATTCTCCACGATGTTGAAAGGTTGCTCCTCATATGGATAAACGAAAAGCAATTGCAAGGCAACACTATTAACAAGAACATCATTTGTGAGAAGGCGAAAGTGATTTTCGCCAACCTCGTTAAGAAGACGCCACGATCATCAACGGCCGAAGCAGAAGCATTTAAGGGAAGCCGCGGGTGGTTCAAGAAGTTTAAGAGAAGAACCGGCATCCACAGCTTTGTAAGGCACAGTGAAGCAGCAAGCTCTGACACAAAGGCAGCAGAGAACATCAGCGACTTCAAGAAGCTCGTAGATTCTGAGGGTTACCTGCCGCAACAGGTTTATAATTGTGACGAGATGGAGGTAACAGCAAAGCAACAATCTTCTGGCACAATAAGAGAAATGCTGAAAGCATGGGAAACTGTTGCATTGTACACTGAGAAGCATCACCCTAATAAGGCAGAGACTATGCGTGCTACAAATTTATTTAATGATAATGCTATGTCGCATTTTCACCAAATTTTGAAGCGTTGGCAAAAACAAATGTCTCTAGACAGCTTTCTAGTAAAAAAGAGTTAGATATGTATCATAAATAATAAACTAATTATTACGATTTTTTTTTTTGTTTTCTGCAAATCGAATTCGCCTTCCAGGTTGGTTCAGTCCGCACAGAAGAAAAGATGAAGATGATTCACGCTCCTTAACAATGTATATATAATTTTCTTTGAATAAACGTTATACATAAAACTTTTTGAGTATTTTTTTGGCATGGAACGCATTATCATATTTTACATTAATTTATATGGGAAAAACTGTTTCGCTTAACGAGTGTTTCGCATTACGAGTAAGATTCTGGAACGAATTATGGTCGTTAAGAGAGGTTCCACTGTATACAAATATCATTATCATTTAAAACCAACTCAGTTAAAGCCCAGCTGCCAGCACCAGCATTTCAATCCCATACCTGTTAACACTAGAATAGAAAAGTAATATTCTGGCAAACATGCTGTGCTGATGATCATGTGAAAAATATGGCAGGGACAAAAATACCTGCAGAAAATCTTCAAACATACGCTACATGTAACCTAAAAAGCACTAAACTGAATCTTTCTAGGTTCTATAGGGTAACATTATTTTAGTAAAATGAAACAAATCTTTTAGCTGGCATTACTCACATGTGGGATTTTATAAGTTGTATGAAACTTAAACATTTACTGGAGGGTGAATAGGTGGACAGCCATTACATATCCTGAAATTCAGTATACAGTTAAGTTAAAAAGGCAGAGATAATTTGAACTTAATGTATATCAGCAGTTGAGTCATAAAAATTCAAGGTGGCATGAATTACTCGAGAAAATACGGTATAATACATCAATAAATGAAAAAAGAAGTGACCTGAGTTTCAAACCCCTCACCTTCAGAACCTCCACCTGATGCTGGAAGTGCAGGACCTCCTTGAACTGTTGGATCATTATCTGGTCCGGAGCCTGGTGGGTCATCAAACAACTGCGCTGGGATACCTGTGAGGAGGTACTCCACAGCTCGGTCTGGATTGTTAAAACTTGCTCGTAATGCCTGCTCCACCTACAAAGCAATTTACACTCAGTTCATGATTCACTAAGTTCAGGGTGTATTTCAACTACTAAACGACTGCTATAAACTAGCTAATCACAGAAACATAATAAATTCTACATAAATGAAGACAAATGAAGATAAACTACAGCAATCTGCAAAATCAGACTTTTGGGAATGAGGAGATACCTGTAAAATAAACTGATAAAACTGATACAAATGACAGAAAAATATGTGGTTTATTTATGGCACTGACAGTAGCTCATATAGCATCAAATGACTGGATGACGGGGGATAATGAAATGGAAAGGATGTGTAAGAAAGCAGCTACAGTACTATCACAGAATTTGCTGGAGGGACTAGGAGAAACCATGCAAAGTTCAGTTGGAATAGTTGTTGCAACCGAGATTCAAACTAGGCACTTCCTTGTACAAGTCAGAAGGGTACAAACAAAAATATCTTAAGATTCAGAGATGCATAAATAAATATAAACAGTAAAATAAGAATGGTAATCTACTTATGGACTGTCACAATATTCTGGTAGGCTGAAAAAACTATTTTAAATTAACTACCAGAATAGATGATGCTATCACAAGTGTTGAAGATTGATCAGCTATTTTTTAAGTCACACCTCCACTCAGCTTTAAAAGACTCAAAATTGGTACGGAAAACTTTAAAAGGTATAAATTCCAAGTCCAGACTTCTTATAGGAGCTGACCTGCATTTTGAAAATCCATGTAAGAATTTATATATCCAATAAGGTCAAACTTCCACACTACTAAAATAATCGAATGCTGCAAGTACACTAATTAAAAAGAGTACCAAGGTCAAGAATATGCAGCTCTATATATTCACTCCACCATATGCCTTCATGGCATAGCGACAACTTTACGTACTTTAAAAGAGGGATAAAAATTATTGCAATAAATTCAGAGAAATCTCACATTTAATGAAAATGTATAAAATCTTTCCCAACATTCTTCCAGTCTTCAGATTTGCACCATTTTTTTTTTGTTGTGATTCGACTTCTCTTTTCAACTGCTGAATACTATAACAAATTAGTCACAAATTTGTATGCATTATTTTTGCTTTCGATGTGTATTTCCAAGTTCTTTATTATTATTATCCACATCATTAACTCACCACATGATTGCCTGCTACTTCAATCTGACATTAATTCTGTGAGTAATTGGTGCACTGCTAACTCCATGAGACTTAATATTGCTAAAACGCCTGTTGTGTCATACACAAGGGAAACAAATTTTCAGAGCTGCAAGTATCAGCTTTGTCATGCTAGCATTACATGCACTAGCAGTATTAAGGACCTGGGTGTTTTCTTTCATTCAAAGTTACATTTTCACACACTTTAATTACATATTTTCAGAATGCATAAAGCTTTTAGGCCTTATTCGCTCCATTACCTACAGATTTTCCTCCCTGCAGTGTCTGTATGTATTATACTTTACTTTAGTCAGGTCCAAGTTGGAATTGGCATTGGTAGTTTGGAACTCCATTTTGAATGATGCCAATAAGCTTGAGTGCACTAAGCAGAAGTGTGCATCCATCTGTTTTTATCTTTTTTCCTCTCATATTCCACATACTTATACTGATGCCTCAGAGAAATTACATAAATGGAGATATCACCTTGATGCACTTTTTTTTTTTTTTTTGTTCAGGTATATCGTGGTCTTAAATCCTGCACTTCGCTTTTGGAAAACATTAGCCTTCATGTTCCTCCCAGCAATCTTAGGGACTTCTCATTGTTTGGTGTTTGTCCCCCTAATAAACACAGTCCTGCTCGGTGTGCCTATGCTGCCAACGCGGTGGGTAAAGATCAGAACATATCTGCAATCGGAAGAACTTCCGAAAATCACATTTAACCTAAAATTGTTAATAATATTTGTTCATACTCCTAATGTTCTCTGTGTGTATGTACATGTATTGTTCTTCTCGCCACATAATGGCATAACCATTGGAAATGTACTTACTTACTCCATTATTGAGTGACATGTTAAACAGGCTGATGCCTAGTGATGGCCCAGGTATTGTTGATATGGGAGCATGTTTTAATTACTGTGGAAATGTGTTTACTGGCTGCTGCTGCTGCCTAGTAATGGACGACTCCTGTTGTCACATTATGCCAGCTTTCCCCTTTCATGTCATCATATGTTGTAAAAGTGTTCATATATTGCTTAGCAACATGCCTACAATATTTTATAAATATTTAAATTACAAATTAAGATCAATGAAGTACTAAGTTTCTGAATTTTATATTTCCCACAGTTCACACTTTCCTGTGGTTTACAACATTTCTCATCAGTACTCAGGAAAGTGTAACTGAGGGGTTCCACTGTATAATCCTAGTACAGGAATTGCAAACCTTCTTAACCCTTTAATTCTGAATTAAATGACAATATGCAACTGGGAATCTGCTGGAATTTATACGGCCCTTTTAATTCTTGACCACATGAAGTCAGGAAAAAGCATTCTGTGCAGAAACACGAACCAAAAATCAGGTCAAAGAAATAGAATCACACAAATCACATTTTTAAAATATATATCTCATGCAGAGCAAAATATTATATTAGTTCTTAATACAGACCATAGTGAAACTGTTCAATATTCAATCATCCAGTAATTGCTGAGTAATCATGTACTTATACAAGTGTAGTTTCCAGCATACTTTCATACCTTTAACACAGGCCAGTTGCCACTTTACAGTACAGAACTGTACATGCCACCTCAAGATATGTCTTGATGTCAGAGGCTATGCAATAGGTATGGTATGTTCACTATGACACAGTCGCAATGCTTGCATCAGTCATGCAGTCTTGATGGGAATATGCATAGGAACAATGACATATACAACAGCAGTGGCATACCCAAAATACAGAACACTTACTACAGGAGCTCACCATAAATCCATGTGACCAATTACTATCGCCTGTACAGATATATTCAAATCCTTGTTTTAGTGTGCCCCAATTCAAAACACTGCAGAATACACAGCAAGCAGTCACATTTGCTGCAGAAGTACTGGGTTCCTCTTACTTTGTTTTTGGAAGAGCAGATCCTGCATCGCCTCATATTTCCATTAGCAGGCCAATGCAGTGACTGCTTCACTTCAAGTCTACCCAAATGACTAGCTGCAGTACTTCACCTTCCATGGGCATTTCCACTTGTTGTTACATTCTGATTGTTAAGTCAGGAGGATGAGGTGTTAGCCGTTCCCTGAATTTTTGTATGTCATAAGTCCACCACATGACCTGTGGATCAAGAGAACATTGACAATGGTCAGATCTGTGAGGTGTACTAAGAACTTCTTTGTCCGAAGTGCTGCTGCTTATACTGCAGTTGGTGGCCATCTGGCCGCTTCTGTCTGCTTAACACATAAGAGAACTGTAGTCTTCAATATCCGGAGGTTTCACAGTGTTCCCATAGTCTTCCCTGAAGTTTCCATCTGCAGATACATAAATGTTGGCCAGTATACAGAACTCATGTTTGTCCTTCCGACACACAGCCCTCAGGTTCCCTCACACCCAGGGTACTATATCATTTTCTTCTTCTTCTGGTTCTACATCCTGAAACAGGGTGGCATGTTCTTCCAGCTGTGGTGGACTGTGTCACAGTAATTTCTTTCTTTCTTACAGAGGCCATCAAATTGAGCTGGAGAGGAAAAATGACTGTCAGTATAAAATCTGTAGCCCAATCCCTCCATTTTTCAGATAAGTTGCAGCACTTATGTCATGTGTGTGCATGGCACTGGAGGTAGCAAATTCTGTTTCTGAAGGCACACATTCATGGCAAAAGTGTAACCTGTCCTGTCACACAGTTTGTAGAGCTTTATTTCAAAGCAATCACATTTTTTACAGATATATTAACTTAACACAACTTTACCTTTCAAAAAAGCAATGACTTCATCCAACGGTGTTCAACAGGACGACAAACTTCTGAATATTTCAAATTTAGAATACTCTTCCATATTTACCCCATGCAAGAACTGCTGAGCCACAGAAACAACCATTGCTAAGTAATACACGTATGCAACAATAGAACAAAGGCGTTATGCACTCCATTTCTAGGCAACGGCTTGGTAATCACATTTCCACGTATTGGACTGTGCTATGCAATGCAGTGATGTCATCAACAATATGGACTGTGTTTTCCATGGAGTCTGTGCAGAGTCCTTACAGGGGGAGTGAATTCAAAAGCTAGGAGCACTTGAGAGTACAAGGATGAGAATGGAGCATTGTGAAGATTAAGACAGAGGAGTACAAAGTCACTGAAGACAAGAAGACTTCATAGTGATGTGAAGTGATAGTTTCTGTGATGAGATCCATTGCTAGGAGATGACTAGCGGAAACTGAGAATCCTAATGCGTGTCTAAAGGTGAATTGTAAACTGTGTGAATCAGTGATAGCACTGTAATAAGTATGATTAAGAGAACTTGTAACATAAGTGCTAATAAATCCAATCATCTGATCTAGAACTTGTTATTTTCATCATGCGTACCCCCTTATACGAGACAATATAAAAAAAGAGGGTAGTCAGCTGTTCTTCCCTGAACCAGTAATACCTCATACTGCCTTTCACCATAACCCATTCAGATTGTAAGGGACAGGAACTGCTTGTTTCCTCATTTTTACACCTTTCATAGCAGAGGTTCCAAACTCCCATATGCTAGTGGAAGTAGTGCTTCATTTCCCCTAAAACTATAGGAAATATCCATTCAAAACACAACATAAGAAAATAAAATGGTCATAAATTTTCATCCAAATGCAGCACAGCTCATTTGTTCACACTTCTTCATTGCCCACAAATGGAAGTGCATATACTTCATCAGTAAGAAATCAGCCTCTCCTAATTATTACTCTCCTGGCAGTCTTCTTATGAAAAAGGACTTCCTTCAGGGTCTTCCTCAGAACCACTATACAGCTCATCTATTACACCAAAGGCTTATAGATAATCAATAACAAAATGCTTAAATGGGTTCTGCAAGTTTACCTGCTGCC